AACAACAACAACAACAAACCTTTAATGTCTGCCCTTCTACCCATTTATTTCTACATATACTGTAAATCTCATGATGCATGGTTATTAGTTTTTGCTTTATATAGACAGCTTTTATTTAAAGAAATTAAGGGGAAAGAAAAATTTTATTTTGTTGTTTGTATTTACTAACAATTTTACCATTGCTATTGCTCTTTGTTTCTTTGTAAAAATCTATTTCCCTCTGGAAATATTTCTTTCTGCCAGATACATTTTGTTTCTAATGTTTTATTGTAAAAGTCTCCTGGTATTCGTTTTATATATTGTCTAAAATTATGTTTATTTCTCATTGTTTTGTAAGGTATACCTTTTTCACATGGAATTTCATTTTTGTTTGTTTCTTTCAAAGTTATAACAATGCTATTCAATTAACTTGTGTGTCCTTTATTAGATTTGAGCTATACTTTTTATTGTCTTCTTGCATCTAATATCATTTTTCCACTGCGACAGATTTTCTTGTGGAGGAATTTGCATAGCATAAAGTTTACTCACCATTTTAACTTTTAAAGGAATTGTGTTGGTATTATCTTTTAAGCATGAGGTTGCTAGGTAACAGACAGCAGTTTGAATCCAGACAGAATAAAGACCTAGTGGTCTGTTTCTATAAAAACTACACCCAAGGAAACAGTATGGGACAATTTATTCAGTCACATGAGGTTTCTATATTTGAAAAAATTGCTTGGAACAATAATAATAACAACTCAGTGTAAACTTTTAATACAACTTTTAGAGTAAACTAAAATTCATCAGCATCTACCAGTCTAAGCTCAACATCAGGGTTTGACTGGACTCCAGTTGCAGGTTTGGGTACAGGCTGCAGGTGCCTGCAGAGTACTGTGCACTTGCTGCACAGAAGTAGGTGGCTGAGTCTTCAGGCTGGGAAGATGCGATGTGCAGAGAGAGGTGTTTGGCAGTTTTGTTGAGGAAGACTGTGAATCTTCCTTGTTGGTTTTTATTCTTAACTGAACGAATGTCTATCAAAAGTACAGGACCTTTACCAGGATATTGCCGGTACCACGGGAAGTAATCAAATGCACTGTTCTCATAAGCACAGTTCAACACTGAAGTTCCTCCTTCCTGGACACTCAAAGATGGAGGATTTTGCTTCACCTGCTGTTGGCTGCTTTTCTCCTCCTGTTGGCCACTCACCCCTGTTTAAAGATGGACAAAAAGTAATCAGACTCTCACATTTATATTTTTTCCTTAAATTTTCAACCAACATGAATTTGTTTATACTCTTTTTCATAATAATCTTAAAATAAGAATCTATTCTTCTTCACAACTCACAGCCTAGCTGAAGCCATAGGATTAAAAATGATGCTCTCAAAAGCTTGTCCATTCTTCCTGACACCAGAGCTCTGTGACAACAGATGGTTTTCTGCTGGTCCCCACAGCAGGGCCTCTGACTTTAACATCACACTCACTTCAGTTCTCTCATTAGGCTCCACCCTTCTCAAGGGCTTTCAAGTAAAGCTGTTTCCTCAAAGGAAATAGTTGATGATTTTGGGTAAACTTAAAACTGTGGACAGTTCATTCATTGTGAATCAGAAATTCCTTCCTTAAATCTAGAAAAGAGTCACTTGAATTTTTACTTCCCAATTGCTGTCTTCATTTCCGTCACTCTTTTCAAGAGATTTACAACTATAGACCAAAAAGCTAGACGTGCCAGTAGAGATCACATGCCCCCAAAGGCCTTATTTTATGATGAAAGATGAGCACAGTCATGAAGCCATATTTCTCCCCCCCCACACTTATTCTATTTAAGCAGGAGAAAAAATAGGAAATCTCCTTCTCTGTGACTTACAGCTTCTGGACAAACAACTATGAACTGGTTGTGACTTGACAGCAATGAGTTATTGTTCGTTTTGTTATCCTAGTTAAAGATTATTCAAAGCACACAATAGAAATTATCTTCCATTATAAGCTAAAGTCCTGGGGGGGAAAATTATGGAGAAGATACTTTGGTTTTCCATCCTTAACTAAAAACAAAACAAAGCCAAAAACACCATTACTGTGGAATCAGAACCAACTTATAGCTGACTCTCCAGCAGAGTTTTCTGGAGGCTGTAAATGGCTGGGAGGAGATTATCCATATTTCTTCAGTGGAACCAATGGTGGATTTGTACCACAGAGAAGCATTCAGCTAGAAGGGAAAAGCACAGAAAGTTTTGAACCTATCCAAGAGTATTTTGATCTCCATAATAAATAAAAGGATAGAAATTTTTTCAGGATTTTCAAAGATAAAGGGCTATGTCCATGAAGTAATTTAATAGTTTTGGTAACTCTCATTGACATCAAATAATTATTTAATATTTTATACATACTTTATCTTCAAAGATGAAATGTAAAGAATCAACTTGGCATTTAACACTAGCATAGTCAAAATTAAGGTGCAGAAATTGAGGATAACATCAGAAGCATTGTTAGGTTTTCTACCCTGAAGCCAAAGGAAATTGTATTCTGTCTATATTTTATTATACACATATAAAATCCAAAGAAAGAAAAATATCATCATAGTCCAATAGTAGGCAATAGTAAGAGACTATATTTTTAAATCTATGTTTCAATCTCATTCTACTTAAATCTTCTGAAGGAATATTTTTATTGTTTTCTTTGGGTTTGGTTTCATTTGTTCATGCTGTCTTTCAATATATAGTTTCTGAGATTAGATGTGGATTTCCTTAAAGAATGAAACATTTCCAATCTTCAGTAAACAAATACCTACATGTACTCAAGACATACATGTGTGTATTAATGCAAAGGTGGAACCTCTCTGGCAAGTTAAAATTGAACAGTTGTTCTAGGGGAATCTCATATCATTTACAACCTCCAGAAACCGATTGGAGGGTTACGTTCTAACTTGACAGCAATGAGAGAGAGAGAGAGAGGAGGGACTAATTTTACTTCTTAAATCATTGATCAGTTTATCACTAGAAGATAAGGAAATTCTAGGCACAGATTAGTCAGTGTGGTTGGACTGTTTATGGGTAGAAATACTGAGAGTTTATATTAAATAAATTTTGTGTATTTTAAACTTGAAGGATGACATGTATCATCAAAAGAATTGTTGGGCTTTAACGTAATTAATCTTTCTACTCCATTGGATAAGAGTACGCATATACTACTTAGATAAATATTTAAACTGGTAAGTATAAATTAAAGCACAATGGAGTATAATAATTTATAAATCTATTCCTTTAAGATAATCTATGGCTTCCTGATGAAAAGCTAGAGAGAGAGAGAGAGAGAGAGACACTACCTTTACCCTTCTCTGAAACAGCATTGCCCCTTTGTGGCCATATAGGGAGACTGCATTAAACAGAGCACTGGATTACACAGTTGAATGTTCTTCGTCATGAAGTCACTGATTTAAAAAGAAAAAGAATCTGCTCTTGTTGGGGTCAGCCATGAAACCTTTGCTTTTCTACTTCGTTGTGCTTCAGTGGGAGCAGGAGGCATTGGCTATGATGCTAGACATACCCGGAGTCATCAGGATTCTGAATTATGCATAGTAGCACCTGAACTGCCCTGGGATTTCTATAGAGCAGAAGTTAACCCTTTAAGCTAAGTTACTACCTGGATTCTCTATTCTCATTACATTAATATTAGGTTGGGGAGACTCCAACATATTGAAGAGAACAGAGTCTTTGTCAAATTGGATATAATCAGTCTTTTTTATTTTATTCAATCTGACTAACGTGTATCAATACTCATTGTGATAATAAATTTTCATTTTCCTGGTGACTTGTGATGTAAAATAGAGATCTAACTTTTTCATAAAAGATATTATTTTCAGTTTTGCAGACCACGTGATTTCTGTTGCAACTTTTCAATCCTATTGTTATAATAGACCCATAGCTGACCCTCCTCAGGTTTTCAGCAGAAATAAATAACATGGGAGGAGATTGCTCATCTTTCCACTACAGAGCAGCTGATGAATTCGAACTGTGAGCCTTTAAGATAGTAACACGGCGTCGCCTCACCATTAGGCCACCGGAGGTCCTTAATTTTCTACAATTTGTTGTTGTTGTTGTTATGTGCCGTCGAGTTGCCTGCGACTCATAGCGACCCTATGTACAACAGCCCTAAACTCCACTCTGTCCTGTGCCAATCGCACTGTCTCTGACACTCCCATCCCAATTATCCCAGTCACTGAATCCAATCCACCTCATAGAGGGCCTTCCTCTCCTGCGCCGTCCCTCCACCCTCCCAAGCATGATGTCCCTCTCCAAGGACCGGTCTCTCCTCACTACATGTCCGAAGTAAGTTAGACGGAGCCTCAGAATCCTTGCCTCCAAGGAGCCACCCAGTTTAACCCTCTCAAGGACAAATCTATTTGTTTTCCTAGCAGTCCATGGTATTCTCAGTACTCTTCTCCAGCACCACAGCTCAAAGGCATCAGTTCTCCTTCTATCCTCCTTGGTCATTGTCCAACTCTCTGATGCATAACAGGTGATTGCGAAGACTATGGCCTGTATCAGACGCACCTTAGTCTCCAGAGAGACACCACTGCTCTTCAGCACTTTGGAGAGGTCCCTAACAGCAGACTTTCCCATGGCAATGCGCCTTTTAATTTCCTGGCTGCTGGTGCCAAGACTGTTGACTATGTGGCCAAGCAGACTAAAGCTGTGTACAATCTCAATCTCTTCACCATCCATCCTGATGCTGCCGATTGGTCCAGTGGTGAGAATCTTTGTCTTCTTGACATTGAGCCTCAATCCATATTGCAGGCTGCAGTCCTTGACCCTCTGCAGCAGGTGCTTCAGGTCCTCCTCAGTTTCAGCAAGCAGGGTTGTGTCATCCGCATAACGCAGATTGTTGATAAATCGTCCACCAATCCTGACCCCACATTTCTCCTCATAGAGCCCAGCCTCCCGGATAATCTGTTCTGCATATAGGTTGAAGAGGTATGGAGATAGGATGCATCCCTGGCGTACGCCCTTCCCAATTTTGAACCATGCAGTGTTCCCTTGCTCTGTTCTGACGACTGCCTCCTGGTCCAAGTATAAGTTTCGCATTAGAACGATCAAGTGTTCTGGGATTCCCATTCTTCTCAGAGTCAGCCACAGTTTGTTATGATCTACACAGTCAAATGCCTTTGCATAGTCAATGAAGCACAGATAGACATTCCTCTGGTATTCCCTGCTTTCAGCCAAGATCCATCTAACATCAGCTACAATATCTCTAGTGCCACGACCCCTTCTGAAACCAGCCTGGACTTCTGGTAGTTCTCTGTTGATGTGCTGTTCCAGTCATTTTTGGATAATTTTCAGTAAAATCTTGCTTGCATGTGAAATCAGTGAAATTGTTCTGTAGTTTCCACATTCAGTTGGGTCGCCTTTCTTTGGGATAGGAACAAATATCGATCTCTTCCAGTCAGTTGGCCAAGTGGTCGTTCTCCAGATTTCTTGGCACAACTTGGTGAGCATGTCCAGGGCAGCATCTGTTAACTGAAATTTTCTACAATAGTGACGGACAATTCAATAGATGCAGAGCAGTATTTTTCAAGTATTTAAAATACTTTCTAGATATTCATGTTGATAATAATTATCATTTGCACATTCTCTAACTGAATATGGATTATAGACCTAAATGTCAAAGTTAAAACTATAACACTTTTAGAAGAAAACATAGAACAAAGTCTGAAAGATTGCAATAAGCATCATTTCCTTAGAATAAGAATAGCATGAACCATTAATACTCACAATAACAAGAAAATGGAAACAGCTCAAATGTCCATCAAAAAATAAACAGATCTACAAAATACAGTACATTCACACAATGGAAAACTATGCATCACTCAAGTACAACAATTTTGTATGATACTATATATTATGGGAGAATTTAGAGAGCATTATGTTGAGTGAACTCAGTCTGATAAGGACAAATTCTGCGTAAAATTTTTATTGTGAAAATAAAAGCATAACTAGTAAGATGTGGATAAAAATTATAAAAGAGGAAGAGGAGGAATTGGGAATCTCTAGTATAGCAGAGTTTGGTGAGTAGAGAAGGGGAAGGTGAATAAAATAGGAATGATTCAATGGGGATCTGATAAAATGGGGTAAGAGTAGGTGCAGATCAATGGTGATTCATTTTTACAGCCTACAATGGTGCTCTTTTGAAACACAATGTGAACATAGGAATACGTGAAATGCAATCTATATGACTGATACATAATGTATACAAAATTTTTATGCATTGCTGTACAAAGGTAACTTGTGGTTGCAGTGGTGCTAACACTGTGACACTGATGTGCCAAATGGATAATGGTTACCCACAGTGGACAGTGTTTTCTGGAGCTTCCTGATTAAAACAAGCCTGGAAGCAGGAGTGGCATCC